ACTTCTTGTGGTTTTCTGTTAACAATGGCTTTCTTCTTGCCACTCTTCCATAAAGGCCAACTTTGTGCAGTGCACGACTAATAGTTGTCCTATGGACAGATTCCCCCACCTGAGCTGTAGATCTCTGCAGCTCGTCCAGAGTCACCATGGGCCTCTTGGCTGCATTTCTGGTCAGCGCTCTCCTTGTTCCGGCTGTGAGTTTAGGTGGACGGTCTTGTCTTGGTAGGTTTACAGTTGTGCCATTCCTTCCATTTCTGAATGATTGCTTGAACAGTGCTCCATGGGATGTTCAAGGCTTGGGAAATCTTTTTGTAGTATTGACTCAGGGGGCTGAATAATTACGCACACCCCGCTTTGCAGTTATTTATTTGTAAAAAATGTTTGGAATCATGTATGATTTTTGTTCCACTTCTCACGTGTACATCACTTTGTATTGGTCTTTCACGTGGAATTCCAATTAAATTGATTCATGTTTGTGGATGTAATGTGACAAAATGTGGAAAATTTCAAGGGGGCCGAATACTTTTGCAAGCCACTGTATGTGCACCCCTGGATATATAGTTCTAACAAAAGAACAAGATGAATACTGTGAAATTTTTAAGAATGGTTATGTTTTTGTTATTCCTTCTCTGATTTATTTAATTGTGATTTTATAGATTACACTAAATAAATTACAGAATACATAACCAGTTATAGGACAAATATTCATCAGTGTTCTGCCTTTAATTTCAGATGTTGTGTTTCTTTTTTGATTATTTGTTTTTAGTTTTATATATTAACATTCATAAAACCAATTACATAAAACAGAACTTAATATATGACAAATATTGATTAGTGTTTTGCCTTTATTTTCAGATGTTGGTCATACATTGGACGAATACTTTCCAATGGACAGGAACTCTCCATTGGAATAGGCTGTGGTTACATTGCCATTGTTGAACATGAGTTCCTTCATGCTCTTGGCTTCTACCATGAACAGTCCAGATATGACAGAGATGATTATGTGACGATTAACTTTGAAAACATCCAAGAGGGTTTGGTTAACACTTATACTAATTATAACAATGTTAATGTCTTTGTTCGATATTTCTATTCAAATACTTATCTTAAAGCTGTATAAAGCAGTCTGCAAAAATATAATAACCACTCTAAAAGTGTTAAAATAAAATCATAACTATTTAATAATTTGAGATTGAGTCATAAAATCAATGAAATCACTATAATGAGCATACAAAATATTTCCTTTTATGATTTGACCTTCTCTCATATTATCAAATTTTTTTCAGTTAAGTGTACTGTATGTGATGTTTGGCTTTTATATATGATTTTTATAGCTTACAAGAGCAACTTTAGAATAGTCGGCAGTGATGAAAGCACCACCCATGGAGTCCCATATGACTATTTGTCCGTGATGCACTATGGCAAAGATGATTTCACCAATGGCAATGGATCTACAATTATCACCAAAGACCCCAAATTCCAGAATCTTATTGGTCAACGACTGGAAATGAGTGCTAGTGATGTTCAGGAGCTGAATCTACTCTACAAATGCAGTAAGTGCTTAAAGATTATGGGGACCAGCATCCAGTTTTAGGAATACTCTGGGATTATTGGTTAAAGTTACTAAGAACAC